TGACGGTGACGGCGACGGCGTCGCTGACGCTCTGGAGCCGAAAGCTTCTCCTGGGAGGGGTGTTCCCCTGCATAGGGGGGGTCCCATCTCCGAGACCTCCTCGCGCGGCGGCAAACATCAGAGTGGCAAGACAAGAGGTCATGATAGTGATGCCTTCCAGCAGTTGTCAAATATGATCGAGATGTCCCTGATTTCCGACCGTTCCGCGCGGGCTGCAGAAACGAGGGTCGCTAGGCACTCTAGGAATTATTGGGACGAACCTTGAGCCCATCGCATCATGATGTCTGAGATGATCTAGCCGCTTTTTTGTTGCCAGGGCGACTTCCACCCTATGGCGTGCATAGTTGGCCTGATGGACTTTGCTAACCCTGCTGTAGCCTCGGATGCTGAGCGCGTCGGGCCTAAATGACGTCGGGATCTCGGTCTGTTGCCTGCTCTCGCGCAGGAAGTGAGACTCATAGGACGAATTCTGAGCCCATTGTATCATGACGTCAGTCCCAGTCTGAATCCGCGGGGCCGTCAAGAGGCGGACCTGGATGGAAGGCCGGTGCTGGGGAAGGGGTGAAGGCCTCAGAGGGTCCTTGTTTGGGAAAAAACCTGGGAGGGGAACCAAAAACACAGAGACGCGCAAAGAACCGTCGATTCCAAAGAAAATCAGGGAAGTTCTAAGCAGTGGTGGAAGGACGAAAACAAGAAATATTTGAAATATGGAGGATTCAGGGGTTGGTGTATATCTATTTGGGTGTCCCTGTTCCCCGTCAAAAACTCGACGTCGGAGATATGGATGGGCCTCGACTCGAAGTCCGTCGTCTCGGAGTGGGCGCGGGGGGGAGCTCTTCTTTGGATTCTGGCAAGTCCAAGCATGAAGGGGGGGGGAAGGGAGGGCGTTGTGTGGCCCGAAAGGACATCTGGACTTAACGCAAGTCGGGACTTGCTTGCACGCCGTTTCGGCTCAGCGTCTCTGAAAAAGGCGTCGGAGGTCTGGGGACGATTCGTTGAGTAATGCTTGGCTATGTGGGACTATGCTTGTTGTATTTGTTTTAGCTTTTCATCCAAAATCCGCCTGGAGGATGACATGCCCGACCTAGACTAGCCACTCCCCTGCTTGCCCCATGGAGCCCTCCAGAACCCCGCAGACCTTTCAAACGCGTCCCAAGCGGACTGAAAAAACTGAGAAACGATGCGACCCTTGACCGACGACGACGACGCCGCCGACGAGAGTTGGACTACTCTGCAGCCCGCACATATTGCAGCCCGTTGTGTGCCCCCCCCCCTCCTGCGCCAAGGGCGGCCAGGGGGACACGTCCAGTCGGATCGGTATCGTTTAACCGACCCCCATCTCCATCCATTCCCATTCCCTTCGAGACCCCCACCAAATTGCCCCCCCAGTTGGGGGAGCATCCCTCGAAACCCGAAGGATACGGCCTACATCCCCATCTAGGGGGGCAAGTCGGCCAGTGGGGCCCAGGCCACGCCGCTGGGGATGGGGATCGGATAAACGATGTCCACTCGGAGTGCGGGCGGCCTGCGCGCGGGCTTGCTGCCCCGCGCCCCCCTTCGCTCCCCCCAACCCTCCTCTCCTCCCTCCTTCCTTCCCTCCTCCCCTCCTCTCCTCCCCCCTCCTCCCCTCCCCCTCCCTCCTCCTCTCCTCCTCCCCTCCTCCTCCCTCCTCCTCCCCTCGTCCTCCCCCTCGCCGCCCCCCCCCTCCCCTCCTCCCCTCACTCCTCCCCTCGTGGGCCGCCTTGTTCTGTGGCTGGACTGCTTCGCCAGCCAGACAGGCGCGCCCCCCCCCCCCCCCCTGTATCCCAGGGGCCACCACGGCCAGCAGACTGGGTTCCAGCACGGCAATCCTGGCGGGCCTCCGCACGGGCAGCCTCAGAGGCGCCCCCCGATCTTGGGCGGACGGAGCGCCGGTCAGGGGGACGGAAGGGGCGAGGATGATATTTATGGCGGTGGTGGTGGAAAACAGGCTCATCAGAGGATTGAACCTTCGGTTACCGACCGAGCCATGTGGCAGAGAGGACAGAAACGACAGACCAAGTAACCGCACGTTCAAGGTGGGCGCGGGGGGGGGGGGGGCAGAGAGGGAATACTGGATCCGACGCGGGGATCCAAGCAGCCATCGCTCAAAGCGAACCGCTCGGACTGGATGGCACGAGCACGATCTCTTTCTGCCGACCGCCTGATTGCAGGCGAGTGCAAGAGAACGTTGAGTCATTGCGGTCTGAGCCGATGGCAGGGATGGGTAGCCTTCTCAGGGGTACCTTTGCATCCTTGCCACTTCGATCCATCCTTAAATATCTTCGCGCTGTGAGTGCACCGCAGTCTGGCGGGGCGCCCTACGCGTTGGCCCAACTGTTGCCCGCTTGGGTCTGCCGATCGGCTCGCAGAGGAAACAACTTAACAACCTGCGATGGCCAGCCCCGCTCGAAGTTCTTCGGCATGGGCGTCCAGGGGGCTTGCATCCTTATTGCCGATCCTTCCTGTCGATCTCGAAGAGCTTCGGCATGGGCGTCCAAGAGGTTTGCATCCTCGTCGCCGATCCTGTCGATCTCGAAGAGCCTCGGCATGGGAGTCCAAGGGGCCTGCATCCTCGTCGCCGATCCTTTTCGCCGATCTTCACTGCATCCGAAAGCGTGGAGGCACAGAGGAGGGAGCACGCGCCCGGCACGCGTGGGGGGGCTGGGGGGGGAAGAGGAGGAGGAGGAGGAAGCGGAGGAGGAGGAGGAGGAGGCGAAGGAGGCGGAGGAGGCGGAGGAGGCGGAAGAGGCGGAGGAGGAGGAGGACGAGGAGGAGAAGGAGAAGGAGGAGGAGGAGGAGGAGGAAAAACATCAAGCATACTAGTAATAGAAAGAAGACGAAGGAGAACGAGAAGACGAAGCGGAAAACTAATAATGATATTAATATTGGTAATAAAAAATAAGACTAGTAATAATTATAGTAGTACGAATAATACTATGCATAAGAGGAGGAGGAGGAGGAGGAGGAGGAGGAGGAGGAGGAGGGGGGAGGAGGAGGAGGGGAGGAGAGGAGGAGGAGGAGGAGGAGGAGGAGGAGGAGGAGGAGGAGGAGGAGGAGGAGGAGGAGGAGGAGAGAGGAGGAGGAGGAGGCGGAGGAGGAGGAGGAGGAGGAGGAGGAGGAAGAGGGGGAGAAGGAGGAGGAGGGGGAGGAGGAGGAGGATGAGAAGGAGGAGGAGGAGGAGGAGGAGGAGGAGGAGGAGGAGGAGGAGGGAGTGCTCGTGTGCGCCGTCGGAGAGCCTAGCCAGGTGCCAGCGCAGCCCTAGGGGGTCGATCATTTGGGGGGGGCGCAGCGAGGGCTGCAGACAAGGGGCCCTTCCGGGCCCCGAAGGCGGCCCTTCAGGTTCCAAAAGGGGGCCTCCAGGGCCCGCACGAGTGCACCGTTCTCCCCCCCCCCCCCCCCGAAACACACTTGTCGCCTCTCCGTTGAGCGACGCCCAAGCAAGGGGGTCCTGGACGGAGGCGGCCTTGAGGTTCTCGCCGCGTTCGGGCTCCCGAGGCCCTCCTCGAGCGCCAGGGGCCATCAGACAAGGGCAATGAAGACGCCGGCGGCGAATCACCGTCGCCCCCTGCCCTCTGGAATCGCCCTTGTGGCCGAGCGTTGTGGCAAGAGCTCTGCCAAGCTATCGGAGCATCTTGGGGGGCCTCTCGGGGCCTCTTTGCCCGTCTTAGGGCGTTCCCGGCCTGCCTGACGCCGTCCGCAGCTGTCTTGGGGGGCTCTCTGGGCCGACTGGTGGCCCTCTTGGAGTGTTCCAGGGCCGTCTTGGAGGCAATCTTGGGTGTCTTGGAGACCTCTTGGGCCGTCTTTGGGCCCTCTTGGGGCCGTCTTGGGGGCCTCTTGGGTCGTTCTGGGGCCATCTTAGAGGCCTCAGCTCTGGGGGCCCTTGGGCCGTCTCGGGCCCTCGGAAGTAAGGCCTTGGGGCCTCTGAGGAGCCTCTTGGGCTTTCTTGGTGCCTCTCAGGGCCTCCTGGCGGCCTCTTTGGGTGGAGGATTGGATTTTCGGTTCGTGTCCCGTCTCTGGGGGCGCTTTTAGGGCCGTCCTTGTAGCCCTCTTGGGTCGTCTGGGGCGCCTCTTGGGCCGTCTTGGAGCGCTCTTCGGCCGTCTTGGGGCCCTCTCGGAGGCCTCTTGGGCCGTTTTGGGGTGATTTGCGGGGCCTCTTGGGCCGTCTTGGAGCTTCGGAAGGCCGAAAAGTCGAGATGTTTGCCTCTTAGGGCTCTCTTTGGAGGCGTCTTGGGAGGCCTCCTAGGGCGTCTTGGAGGCCTCTTGGGCGGCCATCTTGGGCGTCTTGGGGCGATCCTTCGGCGACTCGGAGCCCTCTCGGGCCGCCTCGGGGGCCTCTTGGGGCCCTCTTGGTTCGTCTTGGGGGCCCCCCTCTTGGGCCCGAGCACGTCACGCGCCACCGCTTCCGGAGCCCAGGGGGGGGGGGGGACACGCGGGAGGCCCCATGGGGGCACGCGGGAAGCCTCGAGAGATGGGAGGGCGAGGGGCGGGCCCCTTGCGAAAGTCTCCTGGCCTCGAGGGCTGGGCCCAGCACCGGAGGACAGGCCCACTGCGCGCCCAGCGGGGCCCCTGGGCGCGCTGGGCTTCTCCGCCACTGTGCCGCCGGCACAGTGGCGGAGAAGGACGGAGACTCGAGAAGTCATGCCGGGAAAGAGTCCCCCGCGGCTCCAGGGCCCGTTATTCCCTCGGGACTCGTTCTCTTCAGGCGGGATCTTCGAGGTGCCCACAAAGGGCCATTCTGGATGGGAATGGTGAGGTTTGGGCTATGAGTGGGACCCAGGGTGGCCGGAGGCTCTCGTGTGCTCCTTCTTCGCTTCTTTCTCGTCAAGACGCCCCTTGAACCCACCACCGCTTTGATCCAATGGCATCGTTCTTGAGGTGGTCGACTTGCCCTTGGAAAGTTGGCCACCGATGACCGATCGGGGCTGCACTCCTGGACCCAGCGAATGAGGATGTCAACGTTGGGAATTTCTTTTGCTGCGCATTGCAATGTCGACGCCAAAAATATCAATGTTGCAATGCTTCAGAGTTTCATAATGCTCGGGTAGAAGGTCGGGGATATGTCCTCGATCGGTCAGGGCAGAGAATCAAGAACAGGGAAGAGAAGAGCTCAGAGGACGAGCATCAGGAACATGTGCAGAACAGTGGGATTATAAATTTGCATGATGCCACAGAGGAGGTGGACGAGAAGGTCAAGTCCGCAGATGAATAGCAGGTTGAGTTGGATGTCGATGAGGGGAAGGATGTTGAGGGGACTGATGTCGCGTTCGACATCGTCGCTGCCTTCGTCGTCCTGTTCGTCATTGCGCCCCTGAAGTATTGTTGGTCTCGCTCGTCCGATCTTCTTTTGGTCTTAAGTTGGTGTCACTTCTAGTTCGGTTTGGTTTGTTCCATCTTGTTCGGGGTGGTCTTCAAAGATGGCCTTCAAACGGCTCATGGGGCCCTATCCATAATTCGTCCATTCTTCGCCCCGGCTGCTAAGTAATCTGAGCGTGGACATGGTCCCCCACGAGTGCCTCAGAAGGAGGAGAAAGCGATGTTGGGCTCTGCCATGCATCCGCCAGGTGTTTCCGGCAAGAGGCACGGGTAGATTTTGAGTGTTCGTTCTCTCCGTTCACCCATCTTGGTTCGCCACACGAACTTGCTTGGGTTGCTCGGAGCCCTTACTCTTGCGCCGCAAAAGGTGAGCAACGTCTCACATGCCCCCTAGGGATCTCGATATTTCAAGACGCCTAGTTTAGGCAGTGACACATATCAGAGCGCATAGCTTGATATGTGTGAGCGCAGGTCTTGTCCAAAGGAGTTGTTCACAGACAGTACGAGATCGATGTCGTTCTATAGTCTATTGTCATCCTGGGCCAAGGGCATCTTGTAACTGCTATGGGACTTCCGCCAGACTGAGTACACATCATGCAGCCCTCCGCCCTGCTGCAATAATTAACACCGCCGCCGTCGCTAAACGTTTGTCTGCTTGCGGGCGAATCTTCCCATGTTGTACTCAGACGGCTGGTGCACATGCGCCTGCAGCAGCACAGCGGACACCGATTCCCGTGTCATGGCGTCGTCTTTCTCTGCCCTTCGGGCAAGTCGGCGCCACGCGAAGCATTATACAGGTCCGAGGATGTTGCATTGCCGTTTGCCATTGGTTTACCTTCTCGCCGCGATTCTAGTGTTCAACTCGTCGCTCTGGTACGGCCAACTGCCTCTAAGGCGGGGGCGTCACTGCGCCCCTGCGGGCTGCGAGGCTACCTCATGAGAGAGGGCCTTTGTGCTGCCAGGAATGCAAGAACGTCGTACCGCAAATTAGTTGTTCTGTTGCTACACTGTTGTTTTGCCAGCAGTATTAAATCTGATACCAGTGTTAAAGACGTGGCAGAAAATGCACGCAGCCCGCCCGTCAACTCACCTCATCCACCAGATAACGTAAACCACGTGGCTACTGCACCAACGCAGAATATGTTGATATGTTGTGAGTCTTTGTGGATGCTTCTGGGCGCCTGCGCACGCCTGTGCACGTTTGTAGTCGATTCTGAGCGCCTGGGGGCCATTGGGAGCGCCTGCGGGCGATTGTGAGCTTTCGTATGCATTTCCGAGTATGTGGTCGCTTGTGAGCGTCCGACGACGCTTGTGAGCCACATTGCAGCCATCGGCCTCGCATTGCATTGCCGTGCTGGGGAAGTCGGACTTGTCTGAACGTAGTTGTGTCGTATAGAGGTTTCGCACCCGCTTTTGATGTGAAGAAAACATGGATCGCCAACACTGCGAGGAACATCCTGCTACTGTTGTCGCTGCTCTGGCCCTTCGTTACCTACTTGTTTCCCTCTGGCCAGTCTTTTGTCCGCTCCATTTTGCGTGCAGGATGCCGGGGATGCCAGCAGCTGCGCACGGCATGCCTCACCACGGGAATTCTGGGGAGGGGGGTACATGCTTTGCGCAGGATGAATACTGTAACGAACGGGATCGTGAGTCGTGGCACTGACAAGGGTTGGTTTGGTTCATGAGTGTTTATTGTAACTCCGTTTCTGCCGACAGCTCTTACACAGCGGATGCATGTTCAATGGATATACCGAAATGCGTGTACCCGCCTCATGGTGTTGTTGATTGCGCATGTACGAATGTTACATCACAACTCACACTACTACACCACGGGTTGTTGCAAGGCTTCTCTGCCGAGGGGACCGTTGATGGGTTGCTCCTGATGTTGGTGAGCTAAGTGTGCCAGAGACTTTCACATTTCAGTTTGCTATTTGGGTCTGCGTATAACTTTACATTCAGCTGCCTGCGGCAAGTTCCGCCACCTTGTCAGCCCAACATTCTGGATGGCGTCTGTTCGAGAGGGCGCAGGAGGCCGTCCAGTGTGACACCTCGTGTCTCCAGGTTTGAGAGAGCCGTGCTGGGCCCTATAAGGCCACCCTGGGTCCCACGGCAGGCCCTCGTTGCCGTCTCGGGGTCGTCTTGTATGCCTATTGGGCCCTCTTGGGCCGTCCTTGGATCCTCGTGGGGGCCTCGTGGGCCGTCTTGGGGCCATCGTGGAGCCTTCTTGGGCTGTCTTGAGGCGGCGGAACCGCGAAACTATGAAACTGCGATTCTCCGTCACAAAACCAAGGGACATCAATGCTGTTGGTGTGGTCGGGCCCAGTTGGAGGTCCTCGTGGGGCCTTTTGGGGGGCTTCGTGGGGGCGTCGCGGGCCACATTGAGGCTATATGCGCCGCCTTGGGCCCGTCTTCGACGCATCGTGGGCCATCTTGGTTGCCTTGATTATCTGCCTGGGCCGTCTTGGAAGCTCGGGGCGCGGACGCACCGCTTTGTGCACGCGGGGCCGCGTCTGCGGGCGGGCGTACGGCCCCACCGCTTTTGCAGCGGATCGTGGCCTCGGGCGCACTGGTCATGTGTGCAGTTGGTTGCGGTTGGAGTGGGGGAGCGGATTGGAGTACAAGTATTTGCAGAGGAGCACCTGGCATCCAAACGCGCCAACGGCGTGCAGGCACGTTGGCGGACCCACGTTTTCTGGCGTAGCCCGCATTGTGTTTCTCGCGAGGTATACTGAGTGAACTGAACTGAAGTGGACTGAACTGGACTGAACTGAGCTGGATTGAACTGACTGGTCGCACCCGGTACGCGACTGCTTTATTCTCGGCCGCCGAGGATACAATAGATGGCGCAACCGAGGGGGGACGGTTCTACCTTCGGCCGCCGGGGCCGCAGCTTCTGGCGCACTTGTTGTGGTCTGATTCTCGGCCGCCGAGGGCGCAATGTATGGCCTTACCGATAGGAGGCGGTTTTATTCTCGGCCGCCGAGGGCGCAACCGATAGGAGGCGGCTTCATTCTCGGCCGCCGAGGGCGCAATTTCTGGCCTATCCGATGCGAGACGGTTTTATTCTCGGGCGCCGAGGGCGCAAACTATGGCGCACCCGTTACGCGATGGCGGTATTCTCGGCCGTCGAGGGCGCAACCTATGGCGCACCCGTTACGCGATGGTTTTATGCTCGGTCGCCGATGGCGCAATGCAAAGCGCAACCGATAGGAGGCGGTTTGATTCTGGGCCGCCGAGGGCGCAGTTTATAGCTGAGACGATAGGAGACGGTTTTATTCTCGGCCGCCGAAGCCGCAACCCATGGCGCAACCGATACGAGACGGTTTTATTTTCAGCCGCCGACTATGCAATATATGGCGCAACGGATGGGAGACAGTTCCATCTTCGGCTGCCGAGGGCGCAATTTATGGCGCAAGCGATAGGAGATGGTTTTGTTCTCGGCCGCCGAGGGCGCGCAACCTATGGAGCAACCTATAGGAGGCGGTTTGATTCTCGGCCGCCGAGGGCGCAACCTATGGCGCATCTGGTACGAGACGGTTTTAGTCTCTCTCGGCTGCCGAGGGCGCAACCTGCGATGCACCCGTTGCGCGACGGTTTGTATTCTCGGGCGCCGAGGGCGCACCGTGTGGCGCAACCGATACGAGGCGGTCTGTATTCTCGGCATGGCGCAAACGATTGGAGGCGACTGATTCTCGGCCGCCGAGGGCGCAACTCCGCCGAGGTTGCAGCCTGTGGCGCAGCCGATAGGAGGCGGTTTTATTCTCGGCCGCCGGCTATGCAATCTATGGCGCAACGGGTTTGAGGCAGTCCTATCTCCGGCCGCCGAGGGCGCAACCTATGGCGCACCCGTTGCGGTCTGATTCGGGGCCGCCGAGGGAGCAATGGCTTGACCGATAGGCGGAGGGCGCAGCCGATGGCGCAACTGTCACCACCCACCAAACCACCCCAACCCAACCCGAAGGGTCAGATTTACCCTCGATTTCCAGTGGGGGGGGGGTCCGGGAACATCGAAAAAAGACGTATGGAGCCCATACCCCCCCCAACCCGAAATTCGGGTCTTCGGGTTGGGTTGGGGTGGTTTGGTAGGTAGTCACATTGGTTTCATTCTTTGTCGCCGACCCCACAGAAAAACGATAGGGGGTCGTGCAACGCACCGCGCAGGCAAACCATCCACGACATGCTGTGCCTCCCATCAGCGTGCAATTTCACCATTTGCACCTGCACCTGGTGTCGCTTGCGGCTAATCTGTGCGAGTATCGGCGGCCAAGGCCGATTACTCAACTATGTGTGCGAATTGCACCCAGGACAAAATTCACGCGTCCACGTCACGTCGACAAACCTCGAGCGCGTGCGTTTCATTTCGCAGTCCTGCAGCGTCAGGATGTCGATATCTCGTCTTGCCACGCCACCCACTCCAAGCAGCATCCGGTCAGCGAGGCGCCCTGCGCCTCGCTGCGTGTCGACAGGCTCGGGGCTGCCCGCTTCGAACGCGACCCGCGTTTACTCCGCCACGGACGTTCCCGCGCTTCCAGCCGGTTGAAGATATCGCGGCGGTGATCCCGCAAAACTTGCGTTTCCTATTGCGAGCGCGAGGTCGACCTCTCGACGCCACGTCCGCGGCGCCCTGAGCACGCCTGCTCTGCGCATGCGCGCGAGAGAGCAGGAGCGCCCAGTGGCCTTCGAGCGGCGCGCGGGTTCGACCTCGCAAAGTACGCCAAAATGACCATCCCAGACGCCGGGCAACACGCCAAAATGACACTCCCACACGCCCTCGCCTGCCCTATCCTCCTTCCGCCCTCTTCGCCTTCCTTCTCTCATCGACGCAAGGACCCCGGGCCCCCGATGACGCCCTCCGCTGGCCTGGGTGGTCCACTCAGGTCGCGGGGGGGGATCGGGGGTCTAGGGTCCCCGTTTGCCAAGGAGCTTCTACCTCGGATGGGCACTTCACCCCTCCAGGAGCTCTCGACCCCATCCCGCGCCCTTCTCCGTCCTCCCCCCCCCTCGCATTCCATTGCGTTTGGCATGCCCGCCACCGGCTTCTTTGCCGAACACACGCTATCGATCTCTGTTTCCGATGCACGACGGTACAGTGGGATCTGGCGAGTTTCGCACCGATCATGTGTTCTCTGATGCCGAGGGCGCAATCTAGCGGTCCGAGACGAGGACGACGATGGGAGCTGGAGCAGGAGGAAGACGAGGAACGCGAGGAGGATAAAGAGGAGGATGAGGAGGAAGACGACGACGACGACGATCAGGATGGGGAGGAGGACGGGGAGGAATACGATTGGTACAAAGACGAAGCAGCGGGGGCTGGCTGTGGGGCCTGCGCGGCGAGCTATCGCCCTTGGCCGTGCCGACATTAATGTTTGTTAGGGTCATGGTGGTTTCACTCGGCAGAACCAGGGTTGTCGATCATGAAAACAAATGTGATATTCAACCAGAGGTGGAGGAGGGGGGGGAGGAGGAACAGGAATTGGAGTCAGAGCCGGGCAGGGGGAACAGGAGGAGAGAGGACAGGTGCAGGGGCAGGAAAGCCGCACTTTGGAACACAGGGGTGGGGACCAGAGAGGGGGAGTGTTGAAGCGAAAAGTTGGGATAGATGCGGATATCCAATGATGGACGTGGTGACAATCAGCGGCTTCCGATAGCAGTGGAATTGCGCTTGCAGCGTTCGAAGAAATTTGGGTCGAATGTGCCGAGAACGTCCGAAATACGTATTTGGCGAAGGTGCGAGGTTGGGAAGGATACGTAGCAGGGTGAAATCACTAGGTTTGAATAAGCCGCAGTCGCGCTGGCGAGCATGAATATCCAGGGACGTGAGGTTCGGAATGGTCGGCATGGTACCGTTCATCTGCGTAGGGACGACATGGCGATGCAAGAACCAGGCTAAATATTTACAGATTTGGTCACAGAGAAGACCGTAAAGTAAGTAACAGTGTGGGTTTGGAAGGGGTTCGATGTTCCTTCAGTCCGTCCACGGATGTTCTCCTAGCCCCCCTCTTACACCCAGGCTTTTTTGATGCCGAGAAGGGGCATTGTTTCTTATTCAGCGTTCCTGATTTCAGCAGCCAAAATGTATGCCCCCATCTCCTGGACCTTCTCAGGAACCGTCTTGGCCCCTCGCCGGCTTCTCCCGCACCCGTTTGGGATCCCCCGACTGGCGGGCATGGAGAAAATGGCGGAGTGAGTCCCGTACCGCTGGATTGCTTCGGTTGGAACACGACCAGCGTGCGCATCTGCCTCTTTCCCGTCATCCTTGCCCTGCCATGTGGAGGGGACGCAATCAGAAAAGCATCGGGGAGGGAGACGGAAGGCGGTGGACTTATATGGTTGCTCGATTCCTACTCGGCCTTCCCCCGGGTGGCTGGTAGGATGAGCGGCCGGGGCCACATGATGCACGGCGACGTCAGCGCCACGCAGGCCCTGCCTCCGCATTTCCATGGGATGCCAGCGGGCCCGTGGTGCGCCTGAGCCGTCAGCAGTCTGGGGGGGGCTGTGCCAATCAAGCGGACATTTGGCTGGGATCAAAGATGATTACATGCGGCTTCCAGCTCCAATCCCCGAGTTCTTCCCCAGAAAAGAAAAGAAGTGAACTCGGGGATGCACGCCCGCGGGGCTGTTCAGACGCACCTCTATCGATGATTGCTCCTCGCCGTCGTATACACAGATCGATGTGAATATATGTGTAGATGCCTATGCGACCACGCCTCGGGTGGGTGATACGGAGGTTGTGGGGGAATCCAGTTTTCGTTGCGCGATTTGGATCGGATTGGACTCGGCGCCCAACCAGTTGGGTACCACGGAGCACCTGTTTGGTTATCTATGTATGTATATATACATATATATGCATATACATAGATATATATATATATATATATATATATATATATATATATAAATAGTAATATATATATATATATACATATATACATATATATATATATGTGTATATATATATATATTTATCGATACCACTCTCTACCTGCTTACCGACCTCACTAGCGATCGTCCTCAATCAATCGATCTCACTACCTACTGAGCCCACAGACTACCTCACTATCGACCTCACGGGACACGACAGGACACCACGGGACTCCGCGCCACGGAACACCATGGGACACCACGGGACACCCGCGAGCCCCCGAGCCACCGCCGGCCACCCAGGGGCGGAGAATCATTGAGACTTTTTTCGCCCTAGCAACAGCGGGTTCCTCCTTCCCGCCCGCCCACGCAGCCTCGCCACGGCGGACGCCACGAACACGAACACGAAACCGAAGCCGATCTCTATCAGTGGGGGGGACTCCCCCCAGGCGTAGCAGGGGGCACGGGCGGGACAGACGCCTCCAGGGCTCCCTGAGCCTTCCTGCGATGCTTCCTGGCTGGAACCAGCCACGCGCAGAGGGGGGTATGGGGGGGAGGGGAGGCTTCTTAGAAGCACCCCTGCTTCTAAGAAGGCGCGGGCCTTATCCGTAGATGTAAGGCCGCCGCCCTCTGAGAAGCAGCCTTCTCCTAAGAAGCCTTCCCCCGCCCCCCTACCCCGTTGTGCGGGCCGCCACTGGAAGGGTAGGGAGATAGAGAGAGATGGAGGGGGGGGGGAGAGCGGCACACGCCAAAGCGCAGCGTGTGTCCGCGTGCGGCAGTGGGGGCTGCCAGTGCCCCGCGCGGCAGACCTTGTAGAGAGAGGAGGAGTGAGGGAGAGAGAGAGAGAGAGAGTCGACTAAGAAGAGAGAGAGAGAGAGAGTGGGAGGGAGGGAGGGAGAGAGAGAGAGAGAGAGAGAGAGCCGAATAACAACAAACGAGAGAGGAAGAGAGAGAGCGAGAGAGAGAATAATAATAAGAATAAGAAGAGAAATAAAGAGAGAGAGAGAGAGAGCATGAGAAAAGAAAGAGAGAGAGAGAGAGTGTCGAGAGAGGGAGTGAGAGAGAGAGAGAGAGTCGAATAATAATAATAATAATAATAATAATAATAATAAACGCCATACACAGGATGTTTTGGCGCTCCGCGCGGATTTCTTGGATCCGCGCTGGGAACCCCCCTGGCGGTGCCTCCGGCGCCACCCCTGGCGGGCTCCGCGCGCCAGAGAGGGCGGTCCAGCGCAGCTCCAAGATGTCCGCGCCGAGCGCCAAAAGTTTATGTTTGGAGCGTTTTTTTTTGCAGGAAACAAGGTATAGATCAGTGATTTGAGTGAGGATTGTTGTGCATGCGCTGTTGTGACATTTGTGTACTGTGGAGAGCCAGTTTTGGCTCAGTTCATGCTGAGGTGGAAAAGGATTTCACCAGCCCTGTCGGGCAAGGCCCGTGGACCCCAGCTCCGCTACTTAAGTTATCAAGATAACATTTCAGTACTTGCATGGTAGCGCGATTGGTTTCTGTTCTTCTCATGATGGCTGGTCTTGTGGACACGCGCCTGCTGGGACGACCAAACAAGTACTCAGGCAACCGCGACGAGTTCCCGACCTTCAGATACCAGCTGATCAGCTACTTGGGTGCCATCGACCCGAGATTGGCACAAGCAGTCACGACAGCAGCTACCCACGGCAATGTCATTACGCTTTCAGAGATGGGTGACGATAACAAGCAGTTTGCAGCGACGATGGGATACATTCTATCACAGTTGCTTGGAGGCAGCGCGCTAACCTTGGTGATGAATTGTGAGCCAGGTAACGGCCTGGAGCAGTGGCGACGTCTTTGTCTACGCGAGGATGCGGCTACTGGCTCCAACAAGGTGACGCAGCTGCAGCTTCTTGTGAACACAGAATTTTCAGGCAAGTGGGAGACCTACGTCGAGGAGCTCACGAAGTTTCTACTGGACATCAACCGATATCAAGAGAAGTTTTCAGAGGTGATCTCAGACATGCTTGTCCAAGCCTTGATCAAGAAGAACACGCCCGAGCCGCTGAAGACTCAGGTGATGATGCAGACCTTCGCGAACCACCAGGTCCTACGGGAGACTTGCGAGGCCTTCGCTCAGCAGATGATGCAGCGCGACCCGAGGGTGACCGAGAAGAAGTTCGACCCGAACGCCATGGACGTGGACGCTTTCGACAAGGGCGGCAAGGGCGATTCCAAGGGCAGGGGCTTCGGCGGCAAGTCGGACCAGAAGGGCAGCGGTGGCAAGTCGAGCGGTCAAAGGAGTGCTTGGCAGAGCTCAGGCGGCAAAGGTGGCAAGGGCGACGGCAAGAACAAGATGAAGAGCAAGAAGGGCGAGACGAAGCTCTTCGACGGATGGTGTTCGAATCCCCACTGCGGCAAGTACGGGCACAAGATCGCGGACAGCAGGAAGTACGGCGGCGGCGCTTACCAGCCTGGAGGAGGTCAGCGATCCGTTTCTGAGGTTCAGCCAGGACTTCACCCAGCTCCAGGATCGGGCTCAGCAAGTACGGTCCATCCAGGAGATTCAGCGTCACAGACACGAGTATGTGGAGCTGGACGCGTACAGGCAGCAGTACTACCAGATGACGAAGGGTGTTGGATGTTTGCGTTCACGGACGACACTGACGGGGGCGAATGCGAGATGCTCGTGGATAGTGGAGCTCACACTCATGTTGTACCAAAGGCTATGACGGAGAAGTGCAAGCTCACAGGCGATCCAGGTCAGTCTCTGCGATCCATTACTGGTAAGGGTATACGGACTTGTGATAAGCGGACGTTGACGGGTGAGGTCTTCGATTCGAACACGTCGATCCCTGCAAAGCTAGACGTCACGCCAGCTGAAGTTCGTAGAGGTGCCCTTTCAGTTGCAGAGATGAATGATGCTGGTTATTCTGTACACTTTGATCCTGACGGAGCCAAGATGTTCAAAAGCAACAAGAATGTGCAGCACGAGATCGATAAAGCGATCGAGTCGACAGTGACTTTGCAGTTACGACGGAAGGTGAATGCGTTTCTTCTTCCCATGAGGTTCAAGGATCCGACAGGCTACGAGTCCATCATCGGCGATGTCGAGGACCACTCTGAGAAGGACGACGAGCAGATGAAGGAGGAGCCACAGCCTGGGGAATGTGCAGGCTGACAGTGGAGCGGCTAGTTCACGTGATGGCCCACGTGGCGTCGCAGAAGGAGTTCCAGATCAGACGGGGGCGCCCGTCGCACCCGGGCTCAAGAGACCAGCTCGGATGTCAGGAGAACATGTCAGAGCGCACATTCGGAGAGGTCACATTCTTTTCGAAGCTTGGTGTCAGGAGCGCATGATGGGACGAGGGCAAGAAGACCCTCATCGCGCGAGAGATCCAAACGCATCGGCTACTCCAGTTATATCATTCGACTATGGGTTTCTCAGTTTTGGTGAAGATGGATCAGGTCGGCGTCTCACCCTGGCAGTCGGCAAGGACAGAAGGACAGGCTACCTCATGGGAGTTGTCGTGGCAGCTAAAGGCAATCAGAGCTACGCTATAGCGGCCATCAGCGAGTACCTGGACGAGCTTGGCTACATGAGTATGGAAGTTCAGTTAGACGGAGAACCAGCACTGGAGGCACTCATGCATGGAGTGATTTCGGAGCGTATCAAGAAGCTCGGCAAAGAGGCAGCTGAAGCTCAACTTCGGGTGCGGCTAGTTCCAAAAGGAAGCCGCGCGTCTCAAGGTGGAGTTGAGAGTGGAGTCAAGTCGGTTGCAGGTCTTGCGAGGACTGGGCGTTTGGCTCTGGAGAAGCGTTACAACATGAAGTTCACTGAGGATGTTCCTATCATGCCTTGGATGATTCGGCATCAGATATTCTGCCACAACAGGTACCAGCGGAGGAGGAGCAGCGGTCGCACATCTTTCGAGGAGCTCAGGTTGGCACCGTACACTTCACCCATGCTGGAGTTCGGAGAGACAGTGATCGGCAAGGAGCACACGGAGCTGCAGGACAGTCTGGGCACAGCCTGGTGCAAGGGGCTGTGGCTCGGGCGCAGTTCGAAGAGTGATGCTCATCTTATCGGCGCGGCGACGGGGGTAGTTCAGGCCCGGACAGTGAAGCAGCTGACGACGGTGGAGAGCTTCGACATGGAGATGCTCAAAGCCATGCGTTGGACGCCTTGGAGGACCTCGGTTAGAGCTGGAGTCTACGAGGGCGAGAATTGGCAGCCGACGGAAGGATGCCCTGGGTGTGAGTATGCAGCTAAAGGTCAGCACGGACGAGGACGGCCACCACACCACAGCAGGACATGCCAGCAGCGTCGGGCCGAGTACGAGAAGTCAATCGCCAGCAAGGACGACGAGCAGCCGAAGGTGGTCGTGGTTCCCGCACCTACGGCCAGCTCGGAGGCTAACAACGGCGAGCAGCAAGCACAGCGACCAGCAGGGCCAGAGCCAGCACAAGGTCAAGATCCAGTTGAAGCAGTTCGTCGGGAGGTGCAGAAGATCGAGAAGAGGCTTCGTGGCAAGCAGGGAGTACCAGCTCCAGGGGCACCCGCTAAGCGAGGAGCTGCTGACGCTGACCACGGTGAAGGCGGCCCTGGAGGCCCACCTGGAAATCGAGGCCTGGTGGGAGCCATCGAGAGCTTGAGTACTGGCGACCTCAAGAGGCTCGTGGCGGGCTTCAGCACGGAGGAGATGATGAGGCTCGTGGGCGAGGTCGACAAGGAGCTGAAGGACGACAGCGAGTTCAGCATCGTGATGGGCTGGACCGAGGACGACGAGTGGGAGGCGAAGCAGTGCGAGCTAGATCGGTTCGACAACTACGACGCGTGGGAGCTCACGCTGAGGGGCCCTCACGGGCCTAAGGCACTTACGTGGACTTGGGTTTTGGAGATGAGGAGTGGTGAGCTCAAGGCGAGGCTTTGTGCGCGACCATTCGGCAAGCAGGTCAACAAGAGCAAGAATGATCTGTACTGCCCAACTCCACTTTCGTTCTCACTCAAGCTGCTCATGGTCTACGCTATCGTTAAGGATTTCGCCATTTTTTTTTTCGACATATCTCGAGCGTTTCTGTACACGCCGATTCGGGAGTTGGTGCGCGCAGAGGTTCCGAAGGAGTACTGCCATCTTCCCGATGGTTCGGATTGGGTTTTCAAGCTCAATAAGACCGTCTACGGACTTAACGAGGCGATGATCGATTTCGACGACCACTTTGAGAACATCGCTACAGGACGGAGTGATGAATCTAAGATGACGTTCAAGAGTTTTCTCTCTGACCCGTGTACGTTTGCAGACAAGGCTAATCAAGTTGCTATGTCCAAGCATGTTGACGATGGCACGCTGGTGGGACCCAGAGTTTCGGCCAGCAAAGCGTTGGAGGAGCTCGGCACACATTTTCTACTCAAGGTTTCTGAGCTCACAGTGGGTGGTCCTGAGATCAAGCACCTTGGACGTGGCTGGCTCCGCACCCCCGAAGGTATTCAAGTTCGTATGTGGCCTGCTATTGTCAAGAAGCTACTCGACTCTGAGCCCAATGATAAGAAGACGAGCCCAATACCAGGTGTCAAGAACGAGGAGAAGGTCGAGAGCGAGGAGGAGTTGGATTCCAAAGCGGCCGCAAAGTTCAGGAGCGTCACCGGCATCAACATGTTCGTGTGCTTGGAGAGGCCCGAGTGTCAGTACGCAGCGAAGGAGTGCTCGAGGGGGATGTCACGACCGACGGTGCAGGACCAGACGAGGCTCACGCGCATCATCAGGTTCATTCGAGCTCACCCATCTTCAGTCACGTGCATGTACCCAGACAGCGGCGAGTTCAAGGTTATCGGACGTGCAGACTCTAATTGGGCAGAGGATCCTATCGGGAGGAAGTCTACAAGTTGTGGTCAGTTGTTTCTCAATGGAGCTTTGATGATGCAGTTCGTCAAGACTCAGGGGGCACCAGCACTCTCGTCGCCCGAAGCTGAGTTCAACGCACTCGTGCATGTCGGGATTGAGGCGAGAGGAGCACAGACTTATCTCAAGGAGCTCTTGGACGAAACTGTACCAGTGACGCTGGAGAGCGACAACTCCAGCGCTCTCACGAACGTCGAGAAAAAGGGAGTTGGCAGGATGAGGCACATCGAGTTGAAGGATCTGTGGATCAAGGACCTAGTCGCGCGCAAGGCTGAGACGAAGGTCAGCGCGAGCAAAGTTCACACCGACGAGAACACCGCAGATCTTGGGACGAAACATCTTTCAAGGGTCGATTTCATGAAGCACCTAACGGCGATGAAGGTTTGGCTCACTGGGAAAGGTGAAGTTGGTGGAATTTCGGGTTCAAGCAACGAGAAGAAGGGCCAGGTCGGTAAGCCGGCGCTGGAGCTGATGGGAGCACTTACTCAATTTGGACGTGCGGACGCTACTGAGTTGGTGGAGAAGGAGTTTCAGCCAGTCGCGATCTCAAGCCCTGCAGATGATGAGATCCATTTTGGCGTTTCCACAACGGTCGTGATGATGATGCTCACCCCTTTGAGTGTTATCGCAACGAGTGCAGTCTTCAAAGTCAAGCAGCACATCGACCGTATCACGCAGCCAGCACAGAAAGATGCCTCAACTCAGTACAGCCTGAAGGACACGATGAAGAATGGAGCTACGAGCAAGATCGTGGCCAATGATCTTCGGGCTATGTTCACAGCTATGACTATAGACAGTGGGCGGGAGTTTCTACGACTACGGCGAGTGGATCGGGCCGTCTCGACATATACAAAGGCGATGGTGGTCGAAGCTTGCGTGGCGACCGCCCTCAATGAGATAAGGCAGGACAAGATCTACAGTGTTGATGGGTTTGTCGGGATTTGGCACCCTCACTCGCTGGCTATGATTCGATGTTGATATGTTTCCAGAATGCGTGCCCGATCTTGGCATGAAGCTGCAGATGGGCCCGAGGAGGAGTGCAGGAAACAAGGTATATATCAGTGATTTGAGTGAGGATTGTTGTGCATGCGCTGTTGTGACATTTGTGTACTGTGGAGAGCCAGTTTTGGCTCAGTTCATGCTGAGGTGGAAAAGGAATTCACCAGCCCTGTCGGGCAAGGTCCGTGGACCCCAGCTCCGCTACTTAAGTTATCAAGATAACATTTCAGTACTTGCATTTTTTTTTTTCTCTCTCTCTCTCTCTCTCTCTCTCTCCTAATGAGAGAGGGAGTGGGACAGTGAGAGAGAAGGAGAGATACTGAGAATGAGCGAGGGTTGGGGGATGATATCGAAGGGGAATCGAGTGTTATATATATATATATACATAGAGCCCCCCCACCAGGACATTCCATTAATTTTCTGTTTGGTGTCGGGTTCGTGTTGCGCTTGCAGGCGAGGCGACGATGCGTGGGCGGGCGAGAGGAGTGAACCCTCTTCTGGTTTTGTATGATGTTCCAACCAAGTTTAGCTTTAACCACCAGGAATAATGTCGCGCACCAACAACATTCCGAAACTGGAGGGCGTTCACGTGTCGGGCCCTGGGAGGCGATATTCGTTCGACACTGGTCCGATACTTCTCTGGGTGCTCGAAATTATTTCTGGGATGCTGTCCTTAAATACGACGGGATCAACGTAACTCTGGCTAGGGTTAAGTGGGGCGTGTCCTTCTACAGGCGGAATGCCCAAACATAGTAAACAATAGTCTGGGTACCATTTTTTGACAAGCCTTGAGCATGTTTAAGTATGCTTAGGGTCCTCCTAAGCTTTCGCCCAAAATTCGCCTGTAGGAGGACTTGCCCGACCTAACCTTACGAGCACGACGGGAGCAGCGTAACCTCTGGCCAGGGCGCGGCCAGGGCGACAAGTCTCCCCCCCCTCGGCCGCGGCGTGGCGGGCGGTGGCCCGTGACTTCGATAGTGAGGTCGTTTGGGTGAGATCGATTGCGTGGGACGTTGGGCCCGCCTTCCCCCGGAACCTCCTTATCACGTGAAGGTTGGCCGTACAGGTGCACATATAGATGTGGCGAGAGAGAGAGAGAGAGAGCACATAAGCAAGAGATAGCACGAAAGCGAGAGGCAATCGAGGGAGAGCGCGAGAGAGAGAGAGAGGCAGACTGAGAGAGGAAAAGAAGAGAGAAAGAGAGAGAGAGAGAGAACAAACACAACGGCGATGGGGAAAGAGGGCTCGCTGGCACCGCATCCGCACGTCCGCTGCCGCACGCAGGCGTTTCCTCCGTCCAGCTTCCGTTCATTCCTCCCGCCTTTGTTCCTTCAGTCCATTCCTCCCTTCCCTTCTGTTCTTTCCCACCGCTCCACCACTGCCTCCATGTCCCAATTTCTTTACGCCGGCCTCTATCCTCCTCTCGCTCCCACAACTCAGTCCGCACACCCATCTGTTGTTGTCGCCTGGCATTCCTACGTTCTCCACATGCACTTCCACCCTCCTCTGCTCCTTGTTGCTACCAGGAGCTGTCGATGACGTGTTTTAGGACCAAGCAGCCGGGCGTTGCGTGTGTTCGCCTCTTGCTGTTTGTTCAGCTTGTTGGGGGGCCTGTCAGCCTATTGGAGTTCGGGGGCCCGCTCTCCTCGCCCGAGGCGAGGTCAGCCCTCGACTTGTTGATTCGTCCTCCCCGCCAGGGCCCCCTCTTCCCCCCCTCCTCCTCCTCCTCCTCTCCTCCTCTCCTCCTCCTCCTCCTCCTCCTCCTCCTCCTCCTCCTCCTCCCCCTCTCCCCCTCTCCTCTCCCCCTCCTCCTCCTCTCCTCTCCTCCCCCTCCTCCCTCCTCCCCTCCTCCCCCTCCCTCCTCCTCCTCCTCCTCCTCCCTCCTCCTCCTCCTCCTCCTCCTCCTCCTCCCTCCTCGGGCCAGGAGTACGGCGGCCCTGGGCCGATGCCGATACGGCCACCGCCGCAGGCCCAGCGGGGAGGGCGGGGGCACGCGCACGGAAGTGGAGGTGGAGGAGGAGCAGGGGAGGAGGAGGAGGAGGAGGAGGAGGAGGAGGAGGGGAGGAGAGAGGAAGGAGGGAGGAAGGAGGAGGAGGAGGAGGAGGAGGAAGGAGGAAGGAGGAGGAGGAGGAGGAGGAGGAGGAGGAGGAGGAGGAGGGGAGGGGAGGAAGGAGGAGGAGGAGGCGGAGGAGGAGGAGGAGGAGGAGGAGGAGGAGGGGAGGAGGAGGAGGAGGAGGAGGAAAAGGAGGAGGAGGAGGGGGAGGAGGAGGGAGGGGAGGAGGCGGAGGGGGAGGGGGAGGGGTAGGGCGAGGGGGAGGGGGAGGAGGTGGTGTGGGGAGGAGGAGGAGGAGGAGGAGGAGGAGGAGGAGGAGGAGGGAACGGAGGAGAAAAGGAGAAGGCGAAGGAGGAGGATAACGAGGGGAAGGGGGAAGATGAGGAGGAGGAGGAGGAGGAGGAGGAGGAGGAGGAGGAGGAGGCGAGGAGGGATGAGGAAGAGGAGGAGGAGGAGGGGGAGGGGGGAGGGGAAGGAACATCGCGTTCGCTTCTCTTTCAGTGGCTCTCTTCACGACACCTGCGAGCCGAAATCCTGCGAACGGCGTGCATGCTGGCCCGGGACAGACACATAGAATGAGCAGGAAAGGGAAGGAGGAAGGCGGCAAGAGCGAGAGACGAGAGAGGGAGAGCGAGCAGGAGGGGAAAACATATGAGAGTGCAATGCACAGGACGGCGTGTATGAAATAGCGGGCAAGATGAGAATGAGCATTCCCGCCGGCATCGCGGTCTGCCCTACGACAGCTCAATTGGGAACGCCAAGTGAATCGCTGCAGAATCGAATCACGTCGTTGCATATAGCTTCATGATTGCACGATAATTATCGCTTGTTGCCACTGCACATAGGCATGTCCGGCGGCCTGGCGGCAGCATTCTTTGACAGCCATCATGGAGTGCATGGCAGGGACAACAGGCGCCTCGCGGACAGGACAGCGAGCAGGCTCACTGCCAGGTGCTGCTTCCGCTCGCTCGCGTAGGTTACCCCGTACGTCTGCAGGAGCTGGGACAAGCGGGTGCACGGCCTTTGGGCGCCTGACAGCGCGCGGACAATGTACGGGAGCACCTCCAGCGCCTTCTCCGTGACCGGCTGGCTCTGCGTGTCCAAGAATACCACCACGTCACCAGGGTCGACGCCGGCTGCCCCGGCGGGCGTTGGCCCGGCCATCTGCCGGAGCACCTCCGGCAGCGGGGCGTTGTCCGCGTACGGGATGTACTTGGTCTTGGCCGGCGGGTGTGCCACCGCCGCCTCCCTGTACTTCTCCACGAGCGCCCTCGCGGGGGACAGCGGCAGGAGGTCGGCGTCCTCGCTGTCATCGATCGCGACCACGCCGCCCGCGCCCTCCTGCGCAGCCAGGCCGGCGCACATCTGCTTGCGCGCCGGCGAGTCGCTGAAGACGTTCAGAGCCTCGGCGTCCTCCCCCAGCGCCGCGAGAGACGCCTGGCGAAAGACGACACCCATGTCGCCACCGGCACGGGCGCCTGCCGAGCGCTTGGACCCAGCTCCCAGCCCAGAGGCTGCACGGGCAGGCGAGGGAAGCACCGGCATCGCCGGCGGCGACTCATTCTTCAGACTCTTCACGGCCACGGTGAGCTCCTGCATGGTGCTCTGCAGCGACGACATGTACGCGGACTGCGGGTCGACGGCCTGCTGTGGAGGCGCCCACCCCTCGCTCTGCAAGTGCCGGACGATATCCGCCACCTTGTTCTTCACGACCTCTGGCCCCACAGGCGTGCCTCCGCGCAGGGACTGGGGGTCCAGCAGCTTCAGCAGGGATTCCACGGACTCGCGCACCCCTCCCGCCACAGGAAGGCACCGGTACTGCAGGGATCCGTTCTCTGTCGAGCACAGCTTCTCGATGACCTCGCGCTGCTCGACGATCTTCAACTCAGCTATGTTCTGCTTCGTGGCCGGGTCTGTGCGAGAGGATAAGCCGAGGAAGTCGTGCACGCGTGCGCCAGTTGCATCCAGCTTGGCTTGCGACGGCCCCATCAGAACAGCCTGACCGGCCTGGCCTGAGCTGGACACGGAGTTCTTGTGGATGAAGCGGCAACGGGGCTTCTGGCACACACCGAAGCGCTGCTCCTCCCAGCACTCTCCCGTGCGCATGCCGGTGGGCGGGCCACCAAGGCTCGCGGGCTGCTGGCTGTTGTTGCCCATCTGACGGCTGAGCATGGACAGACCGGCAAGCGCGTCGGCGGACATGACTACTCAGAAAGAATCCCTGCAAGTAAGAAGTCCGAGTTGCACCTCTGATTCACGAGCCCAATGTCGCCTTCACATGCACAACGTGCCGCGCATACTGCAAAAAAGAGTAGTGATGAATGTGGACAGGCAGAAGAAAGTGGACAGGCAGACAAGTAAGCACGAGGGGATGAGGAGGAACAGCGAGTGGAAGAACATGACAATAACCCAATACACAGACCAATGTACACGCCGCTGGTGCCGATTATTATCGGTGAAAAACGTCATGCGCAGAGCTGGAACCCAGACAGTGCCGCGAGCCTCGGGCTGTCAGGAAACAGTCGCCGTCAGAATCCCCACCAGGGCGGCTGCCACCGAGAAGTCTCCACTATGGACTGGATGACAACAGACAGACACCACGCATGCACAACCCACACATGTATATATAATCTGTGAAACGTACGAAGGATACCACAACATTGAAGAACAACACCACGTACTCACACATAGCTACACGTACGGCGCCAACGCATTTTCCGACAGAATCCTATGGATAAAAGCAATCGCAGGGAATCTGATCAAGTCTTCAGTTTGGGTGTCTGGCCAGATCAGCTGGTCGAGGCGCACGAACGGCATCCTGCTGTGAATGGAGTATACTGCTCTATGCACGCTTTGTCGTGTATGCCCTGCAGCAAGGAGCTCACGAACCTGATGCATGATAGCGGCTAGAAGTTGACGCCTACTCCCAATTTCACAATCTATTGTGCGCACGAGATGACCGACGAGATGACCTGCACGTGCTCGTTTGCTACCATAAGATGATGATGAACATAACCTCCCCAGATGACCACATGGACCCGTGATGACGCTCTCGATATATGAACTCCGAGCCGTAACATGAAAACGACCACCAACACGGAATATTTGAGTGCCTACAAACATAGTCCCTTTGGTTTTAGTACGCAGTTACAGTTGTAGATTTCTGGATGAAGAAGATGATGGAGTAACTTGTCCCAGATCCCTTCCCTCCAACCCAGAAGCCGGTCGTCAATCCATCGTACTGCGCGCAGATGCATGTCCAAATTTTCACGGGCATTTACCGATAGAGATGATAAGAAACGTGTTTCTTTAATGCTCGCGTACATGTTTGCTGCACCTGGGGATATAGGACTTCTTCGCGGTAGCCCCTCGGGAGAATCATAATGCTGCGTGCCAATCCAGAACCATGCAAACTTCATGTCGTACGCAATGATGTATGGTATGTCGTCTATATATCTATCTGTATATATATATTGATTGATATCCTTTCCCCTTCACGCCCATGCACCCCTCCACCTTGTTGGCAGCATTTGACGAGCGAAAGGATCGCCACCCGGACGGGCCCGGGCGGTCTCCATACACCCATGTAGTATTTCTCGTGTGCGGCGAACAACCCCGGCTGATGCAAATATAGCTATGCCCAGTCTGTTGCTTGTATTGCGCAATGGCCCATTTGACCTCAGCGAGCAGGTCGGCGCGAGGGAGCTGAGGGAAAAAGTTTTCAATGTCGCCGACGTCCAATCCCAAGCGGAACGACGTTGAATTGGGGGCGGCACTGTTGAAGTTGATGATTTTGGTGCGGAGTTCCCCCATTGACAACGCAGAGAAGCCAGGGGCAGTTGTGCTTTGGATATGATTGATTGCACGGCGCGCAAGCGACAATAATACCCTGCAGTGATGTTTTTTATATGATACCAGAGGGCTGAATTTAAGCTCGTCCCATCTAGTACCCCGCGGAAGCATCGACTTCAATATTGCCCACAATGTGAGCGCCCCAAATTGGTGGCAAGCGCGTGCTTGCAGAGAACAGAAGGGTAACTCGATCAAGCGATTCGGCCATGTAAAAAATTTTGCCGCGAAGGACTCCTGCTGCTCATCTGATATGGGGACAGTGCCAGATTTATCCAAATATGCGCGTACACAGCGTGAATACATACATGGACACAAAAATGCAATTTCCCCCAGTGCCTTGTCGACCGGCGTGATAACAAGGCCCCCGTACTTTGCTTTGAGCTCCACAGCGATTATCTGCGGAATGCCTTGCTTGTGTGCGTCGAGAGCTGCAGATATTGATTGTGCGACGAACGTCGCGTCGCGCATTTCCCCGTTATGGAATGTGCCAAATACGTTTTGCAAGTGTCCACCGATGTTGCCAACTGAAATATCAAGATCGGGTGCAAACTTGGATCTTGCATTCCACGCGCGAGGCAAACCAGGGGCAATGCCTGACTTCACTTCGCCGAGCAGACAACACACATGGTTCTGGACTTTGGGGAAGCTGGAGAAACGAGGCTCCCCGCGCTGACATTGAACGACACCTCGATCAAATAATCTCGCCAGCTGCTGCTTTGAATTCTCCAGAATGTCTAGTAACCCACGTGCCGCCGTTGTTGTCATGGTTAAGCATGCAATTACAACGATGTGCTTGTGCTTGTGCAATGATGTAATGTAGTACTTAATCCAACGACGAACAGCAACGCGCACATCATCATGACACAGTACAGGATCACGAAGATGTGCGCGCACATAATATTGACCACGGCGCCCGCGTGCTATGGAAAAGTCATACATGTACATGTGCTTCTCCCTGTCCCCCAAATGACGCATAGCTGTTGATGCCACGCGAAGTCTTTGGATTGGCGTCCACCCACGGATGATGTTGATCAGACGATGATTTGTTTTTCCTTTCTGCCAGA